CTAGTTTATAAAACCTTAATGGGCAAAACATTAGTGGTTAACAGAGCGTGGTGTGTGTGAGCAGGAATGTACGTGTGTGTGTGTGTGTGTGTGTGTGTGTGTGTGTGTGTGCACTGAGGGTTTTTAAGCACAGTGAGCCATCCTCAAAAAAGGGCAAAAGAAATGACAGTTGCAGACAAATCTATGCTCTCACTCGCACACACACAAGGCTTATATAGAGAAGAAACAACACCAAGGGCACAAACCACAAGATATAGACACACACAAACACACACGCATCGCGCAACTGCAGCCTTGGCACGACCAGGCACAACCAAGCACCAGAGTGGGAGGACCAATGGGTGTAGAGTGCAGACAGAAGACAGAGCAAACCAGACATTAAAGGCCCCATCTCAAACAGCAGAGGGAGAATTCATAAAAAACAGCCTTCAAAAAGCATACAAGCATACACACACACACACACACACACACACACACACACACACACACACACACACACACACACAGACTATTTCAACAACACTGTCAATGTTGGCTGAATATTGCCTTTGAAGTTCAACAGCTGTGTTCGTCTAATCTAAGAGGCATTTTGTTCATCAGGAGAGCAGGAAAAAAGCATGACTCCTCATAGACAAGTATTTTAGAGGCCTCGTATACAGAATCTGGAGTGTACGAAGAATAGCTGGAAAGCAACGCTGGTAAATCAAATCATTTCATATACGAGTGACCATGTGCTGGTTTCAAATTAGACGAGAGAGAGGTTTGCTTGCTGTACTTTCCACAACAATGTGAGGAAAAAACCTTTACAATGCCTCCCTGGGTCAAACGCCTTCCTGAACACAGAGTGCAGGCCACAAACTCTATGAGCTCACTTCCTGTTCACAAAAACATCACTGGCCCTGATTGGTGGGTCTGCTTCGAAAGACACAGTCTGCATGAGATGTTGGGCTTTACGAGGATCTATTGGCAGAAATAGAATATAATATTCAAAGGGAAGTTTTCATTAGTGTATCATCATCTGAAAATAATAACTGTTGTGTTTTTGTTACCTTAGAATGAGCAGTTTTTAGCTACAGAGGGAGCAGGTCCTCTTCACATGGAAGTTGCCATGTTGAACCGCCATGTTTCTACAGTAGCCCAGACCAGACAAAACAAACACTGGCTCTAGATAGCGTCATGGCCATCGTAGTTTCTCATTTCAGTCTGGAGTTTATTGTTATTATTTTAGACCAACTTTTAATTTCTATACATATCAAATAGGTCATTAATGACTCTGTAATGCTTAAATGTATCTAAAACCTCAAAAATCACTAAATTTGAACATACATGCTTTTAACTGGACAGTGACCATTTGCAGATTAAGAGCCTCACAAATGGACACACACACACACACACACACACACACACACACACACACACACACACACACACACACAGAGCTGATCGATTGGGATGAAATGGTGCTAAAGCTCCTCTCTGCAAAACAATGATGTTTGTGGTTTTATCCTCTCAGCGAGTGGTCACACAAGGGGTTCAGATATCCCAGCATCCATCAGCAGGGGATCCACCATTATGTCCACTGATCACTTAAGTATTTACACAGCCAAAAAAACCCACTTCAGAGACAATCTGAAGAATAATTTGCATGCCCACCGGATTTAATTTGGTATTTTTCTGCCTTCAACTAGAGCCAGATACGAGGACTGCCACACATTTTACAATTCACGACCGTGTCAGTACAAACAGAGACAAACACAAGAAATGGAATGATGTTGTCTTTGTTGCCACAAATTATTTCTCCTTTTCTCCTGTCGGATTTTTTACCTGAGCAACCAACAACACTGTGTTAATACTGTGGTATTAACTCCGGAGCCAAACCTACAAATTTAAATCAACATCCAAACTCAACAGGTGTGTATTTGTAAGAAACTTGATTACAAAATGGTCAAGAAATGGGGCAGCGGACTTAAAAGTAGCCTTGATAGCTGCCCTCAGATTTGCCGGTCTCAGTATTAAGACCACAGATTAGCAGGCAGTGCCCAGTTGCTAGCTGTAATCAGAACGCTGATCTAGTATAATCGCTTTTTCAATAGTAAGCAAGCACGCTGGTTTCACGCACGGCTCAGGGACGACGTCTTAAGCAGCAGGAGGTCAAGGAACAGATTTCCAATTCAAACTAAAGAAAATAATAATAATAATAATAATCATCATGGTAAACGGAAACTGTATTTCTTAAACAAAAATATCACTGAACAACTTATGTGGTGGTTGTGTGTCATCATTGACTTGCTTTGATGTCAGTCACAGACGGCGCCCAGCTCCACTCCAAGTCGTATTTAAGGATAAAGTGAAGCTGGCGTCTTTCAGTGTGCCTCCTGGGCCACTTCTGTTTCAATATTTTATGAGCCACAGCCAAATCACCGTGTCAGAATAATTAAACATCAGTTAGGGTACACAACTACAGAGAATATATTCTGGAGGCAGCTCATCAGTGAAGAGGGCGCACTGAAGGAGAGCAGTGGGGTTCCTCGGAGATCAGAGACAGCTCACTCAGACACTCTGAGGAATCTAATTTTGCCATTACACTGTATACAGCCTAATGATTTATTGTCTGAAACACCAGAGGAACTGTTGGTTGTAAAGTGGAGAAGTAGCAGATACGCAGCTTAGCACCGGTTGGAAACATCAATCTTCCAATGATTACGTTGACAACCTGCAAGAGATTTTTCCTTTTAATGAAAAAACTTAACGTAGATGATGGCTGGCAGCAAACACTGATCAGGCTGCTGTCAAGAAACACCAACAGCAGTAGCAGATGAATTTGTACCCAAACCCTTCTTGATTGTGGGGCTCTTACTCGTGTTCTTCCTCCCTGACAGAGGACAACTGCCTCCTCGCCAAAAGTGTTGTTGCTAGGTTTTTAAAATGGGCTTTTCCTGCTACCTAAACTACACTTTGCCTCCGTGCACTGTGATCTGCACCTTGTCTTGAGCTCTTACTGCTCATCCTGTATAGAAAAGCTTAGCGGATAAGAGGCCAACCATGAAAGTCCCCGGTTTGAGCGTCATCAAACGTCTGTAATAAAAAGCATAAAAATGCCTGAAAAGTCATTTAAATAATATTCAGATAGCCTGACAGTTTAGATTGAAGTGCCATGTTGGCTTTTATGCATCTTCTTTGCAGTGTCAGAACATGAACTTCACGTCAAAGCTGAAACTGTATAATCAGACTGGTTCAGCACTAAGCCTTGTGCACACAGACATGGTTTATGTAATGAAACAGTACAGTCTGGATGTTTGTGATGCAGACCTGCAGGTCGTTTTTCACGCACTTGCACAGATACTCTTCATCTTGTGTATATTTCTACGTGTATACTTGCGTGTGTGTGTGTGTGTGTGTGTGTGTGTGTGTGTACAGTGTGTATGCATGAAGACAGATTGTACTGTCTCTTTCTCCAACAGTCCATTTCTAACGTGAGCTGACAGCCGGTGCAGATGCTGAGAGGAACAGCAGGAGAAAGTGCCCAGGACGTCTCCACACATAAAACATTTAAAAAGGAAGGGATACCAGCTACCTTAACAAAGTGTGCGTGTGGCACAAAGTGAGACGCACAAAGGCGATGGTGTTTTCAACCTTTTGTGTGTGTGAACAGCCTGTAAACTGCAGCTTACAGTTCTGATGACACCTTGGTACTACGGATGTCACAGATGTGTAATGTGACCTAGTCTGTACTGTAGTGCTGATGTGATGGGTTGTTGTCAGCAACCATTGTGATAATTAAATATCGATACCGTTGAACTGTAAATTACAGTTAGTAGAAATAAGATAAAAGTAGCCTACAATCAATATTCAAATGTGAGAACATGCTGCTTCTCTCCGTTTTATCATTGTAGATTGAATTTCTTTGGGGTTTTGGATTGTTGGTGGGAGTTGTAAATATGTTATCTGACATCTTTCAGAGTTTTCAGGCATTTTATAGACCCCACTGTTAATAATCAGCAGATTTGTCGATTATAAAATGTTAGCTGCGGTCCTTCGAGTAAATTGCTGGTTCCAGCCTCTCAAATGTTTTTATAATCATTGTTAATTGAATATATTTGGGTTTTGGTTTTAAGAATTATTATAATAGCCGATTTATGTCATTTATCAATAAAAAATGTCAAATATATGCTGGTTCTAGTATCTCATGGGTGATGCTTTGCTGCTTTTGCCTGTTTTATAACTGCGTTTTGGACTGTTGGTTGAATAAAACATACAAACGTTCACTATTTTCTAATATTTTATAGACTAAGTGATTAATCTGTTTTATTAAAAATAAATGTCTGCAGCCCTGACTCACTAGCTGAATCATGCAGAACCATACAACCCTTTTTTTCCCTACTTAACCAAAAAACTGTCAAACATGTTGCACACAAGAAAAAGGTCAAAAACTGAAAAGTGTGCACATATTTTTCCATTCAAAAGTTTAGAATACGACACCTCGGTTTATAAAAAGCTCTCCTCGCTCCTGCAGAGTGACTTACAAAGTAAAAAAAAACAAAGTAAATCTGTTTCAAAACTGTTGTCCAAGTGGCAAAAGTAGCTGCTGCAGAAAACGCTGTAGCGGATGTCGGAGAGCCATGTGTAACATTACAGCGGTGTAATGGCAACATCCCGGGGAGGATGTGGAAGCCGCTCTGCTAATCTCAAACCGGGTAGCTGAATATAAAGGCACCGACAGCGGAAACAAGCGCTTTAAACGCCGCTTTAATTGCGGGTTATTGCGGCGTTTAGTGACTCCCGAAAGGCGTTAAAAAAGTGAGCTAGCTACAAAACTGCTCCAAGAAGGAGTCGGACATGCCTCTCCTCCTCCTCCTCCTCCTCCACCTCCTCCTCCTGCCTGCCAGCCTGCCGCTTCTTCCTCCACTGTGAAAAACCCCCTTCTTCCCCCTCGTTTAGTTAGAACCAGTCAGCGACTCACCCTTCAAAACTGGCAACATGTCTAAAATTTCTGCACTCACCTCAGTCCGGGTCGAGGTGGTCACATGGAGGCGAGAGAAAAAGCGGAGAACCCGACAGAGATATCCTGGAGGTTTAAACTTGTCCCGTTAGTAAAGACACAGCAGGGCTGCTAAGAGAAGCTTAGAGTGTGTGTGTGTGTGTGTGTGTGTGTGTGTGTGTGTAACTCTGTATAAATGTGTGTGTGTGTCTGCAGAGTCTCTCTTTCTGTCTGTCTCTCTCTCTCTCTCTCTCTCCTCTCCAACACCAAGTCACTCCTAGAGGGCGGGGCTGAGAGGGAGGAGGAGACTGAAGCGCACTGTGTATGGCAGGGGTGCACAGAGTAGTAGGGGCCCCTTGACACCAACAGGGGCCCCCCACTACCCACTACCTATACATTTTATGAGAAGTTTTATTTTTATTGGATGAGATTTAAATTTGTATTCATTTTCTTTAAAGGGGAAAGTTCCACATCTTGTTCTTAGTAACACTGAAACTTTCCCACCCCCGTCAAGCATAAAAAGACACTTTTTTTGCAATATTTAACAGGATTAATAGAGTTCCTTTTAATTTATTTATTTAATTTATATTCAGTTTTTTAATGCAAAAAATGAGAAATCACATAAAACAGGCGCTTTGCTTTGAGGTGGAAAAGTTGTATCCATTAAAACCAAATGCGACAAAGTGCAACTCAGACTTTGAAAATAAAAAATGAAACAAAGAGACTAAAATAGCACCAGATAAAAACATCAGATCTGTGTGGCACAATGACTCGTTCCTCACATTAATACATGAAAAAAAAACAGAAAGGTCATATTTCCATCATATTTTCTACGCTGTTTTTTTCCATCGTTTGAGGTTTGACTGGCTCTCTTTTAATTACGTCATCTTCAGCCCTCTTTTGCAATGACATAAAAACACCAAACTAATTAGCACCACCAACTGTTTATCTTCATGTACCAACACCTAATATTCACCCAATGGTAGTGGATGGAAACACATTCATTTGCATGTTCTTTTGTCAATTAGTTCTGAAATCAGAGTTCAAACTACCACAGTATGCTATGAAACATTCGTAGCATTCGTGATTTGGTGTGCATTTTTGAACTTTTCTCCCTGCTTCTATATTCTTCATGCTATGCTAAACACCTCCTGGACACTGAGAGAAATATGTGTAGGCTTGCATGAGCCAGTGTTTAATCATTCAATAACTCTCGTCATAGGTTTCCAAAGACAATATTTTTCCACAGACTTTCTGTTTAATTTTTTGCAGTTTTTTTCTGGCCTCTATGCTCATGAAGTGTCAAAAATACACTGAGACTGAAAATAAAATTATTGGTTCATCTGCACCACCTCTCTAGTGAGACAGTAGACTTTGGAAGAAAGTGCTTCACTGAGTCGTCTAAGATTTCTATCCCACTCTTTGGGATTTCTTCTTTTCTTTCTGTATCTTTTGTCTCTGCCTTCTTGTGTCACCTTTCCTTTCTAAATTTTTCCTCCTTTTTGTCTTTACTCCCATGTCTCCTGTCTTCCTGTGGCCATACATCGTGGTATCCCATCAAGTGAATCATTATTCTGATTCTGCAGAGATCTGACTCTTGGTACAAGACAGTGGTTCTTCCTGTAATGCGGGGAAATGCAAGCTAATGAGACTGACAATTCAAATTTGAGCTATTTTTGGCTGTGCTAATAAGATTAGTGTATAATAAAGAATAATACATAGAAAAAGACTAAAACAAAGATAAGAAAAAGATTAGAGATGTAAGGGAAACTACAGAATACAATTGTGTGCATGCTGCAAATGAGAAGGGTGACGCAAATGATTCACAGAGGACACTGTGCTCCTAGAAATTTCATTCATATGCAGTTAATGGCAGCTGCAGAAAGCATAATGCTACCAGAGCAGTTTATGATGCTCCGTCTTAGGATGCTTTCCACAGAACCAAAGTAGAAGGTCTTTAGGATCCCCAGAGAGACTCTGAATTTCTTATGCTGTCTGAGGTGGTAAAGGCACTGTCTCACTTTTCTTGTCTCTTTTTAATAATGAATCATTTAGTGGTTTAATTACTGGTATTGTCCAGTAAAGATAAACACTGTCTCTCCAGTAGGCTCCTGGGGATTCCTCAGGAAAGTAAGAGTTTTATTTTGACACGTTGATCATTAAGAGCTGTATGCTTCAAGGCGCTTTAGAGCAGAGAAAACTGACCTCAATATGAAGACGTCACCAAGCTTTTGAAACATAACAGGTAAGGAAGTCAAGCTGCAACACTCATAATAAATGAGCCTCATGGGAAACATAATGATCATAACATTTTATTACTGCATTGGTGCCTCAAGATGTAGGCTATAGTATGTATGAAAATGTGATGATATCCAAACTTGGCAAACAAGCAAGTATTCACATATTGACAGCTACACATGGATAAAATGGGGAAATAAAACTTTCAACATACCGGGATCTGAAAATGTGGTTGATGGAGTGAAGTATTTGTTCATGCACTCCCCTTTCTCCTCTTAACCCTAATCTTCCTGGTCCCAAGACAGCTGGAAGTGGTGGGCAGGCTTAAGACTTTACCCTTTACATATTTCATGGATTTGCACTTGCCCCACTTCTACCAAGAAGCAGAAAGGAGTGGTTATTTTGTTGGGAGCGGCACGGCTAAACAAAGCCCACAAGTAACAGTTAAGAATGAGGATTAGGAGATGCAGTGTCTCTCAAGTTGGCACTTAGGTTTGGTCTGGAGCCATTTTAAAGAGAAGCAGAAATACGCTTTCTCACCAAAAATGAAATGAGAACCAATGTTTTAATGGTAAATATGAAGCTACAGCTTGCAGCTAGTTAGCTTAGCATAGCCTAAAGACTAGAAACAGGGGAAACTGCCAGTTTGGCAGCCCAGGAAGTCACTTTTTACACTTGGATAGAAAGATGTTATAGGGAGTTTCAGAAGTTCTGTTATGTGGGTTTTTTGTTACCTTTGGACGGAGCTAGGCTAGTTGTTTCCCCCTGCTAAGCTAAGCTAAGCTAACCTTCCTCTGGCTCTAGCTTTATATTTAATGTACAGACATGAGACTCTCAATCTTCTATCCAAGTCTCAACAGGACAGCGTTGAACTACTCCTTTAACTTTGTCCAGGAGAGGCTTGAGATGCTGACTGTAATATTCTTGAAAATGATTAATCTGATCATTAAGTGCTGGATTTGAAAGTGAGTTTTCAAGTCAGAAGCTTTCCATCATCAGTTTTTATGGCAGGCAGACAAAGAGAGACACTGTTGGCGACTAACGAGACGAGAACACAGAAAGAAAATATCCCATACTGCTGCAGACCTCCTCTTCAAGAAGCCTTTTCTGGAAAATACAATCTTTCTTTGTGTGATGCTATTAAAAACTGTATTATAAATCTGCTCCACAATACACAGCGTGTCTTTCTGCCCTGCATTGATCCACCCTCTCCTTTATCTCCTCTCTGTGGTGAAGACTGGATCAGTGCCAAGTAGCTGCTGTGAGCAATGAGCCCATGTTGTCAAGTCGTCCCATTAAGATATTAGCACATCAGCGAGGATGGAGTATATGCTCTTATTATTAACCCACTTTTTGCAATCAATGGTATGTCAATCAGACTGTTATTCATCACAATGTAATTTAAGTAAGTATTCATGTTTTGCTCTTTTGTTTTTAAGGGCGCTGCAGCTTATATTATTGACCCGCGTCCTGTGGTTAACAGCCCTGAGTGAACAGACAGGGCTGTCAATACTATAATAGGCTTTACACTGATGATACTTGGGTATTGAAGTGGGTGTAACTTTTCACCAGTTCTGTGCTTTGTTTTCTGTGCAAAGTGGATATAATCCCCAGAACATATGCTTATTTTTTACATACAGTAAAAAGCAGTGGTAATGTAACTAAGTACATTTACTCAAGTACGTCCTTTACTCTTGAGTATTTCAATGCTAATTTATTCTTAAATTCTTAAACTAAAATATGGTTATTTTGTAGATTCTGGTTTTACACACATTATCAATTTATAAAATATGATGCATTTTTGTAGATCAAACTGTGTAATAGAGTATACAGTAGTACAGTACAGTAACTTCTGCTTACACAGTAATACGTCAGTAGCAGTAATCCTGTAATGTAATAATACAACACCACTCTCCTGAATAATGAGCTCCTTTACTCTCACGTACTTTTTGCTGTTGATAATTACATTCTTTTACTTGAGTAATATTTTTAATGCATGACTTTTACTTGTAACATTTTACATTTTATTTTTTATATTATTGCTTAATTAAAATATCTGAATACATCTTCCACCACTGATGAAGTAAGCTTCTAAAAACAGATCCAGGTCTAAGTGTGACATTTGGGCTCATCGTCCTTCAGAAAAATGAAATAATTTGGGCTTTTGTATGATTACAGATACCGAGACAGTTGTCATGACTCTTTCTGTCCGTCTGAACATCTTTTAAGGTCCAGTGGTAGTAGGAGGATCTATTGGCAGATATAGGATATAATATTCATTGGTATGTTTTCATTAATGTATAATAATGATATTTTTTGTTATCTCATAATGAGCTGTTCTTATCTACAGAGGGAGTGGGTTCTCTTCAACAGAGTATGCCATGTTTCTATAGTAGCTCAGGGCAGACAAACCAAACACTGGTTATAGATAGGGCCCCCGAGTTTTGCCGCCACTGCAGTTTCTCCTACACACCTCCAACGGGAGGGTAAGGAGAGGACAATCAGAAAACTACACTGCTAGATGCCACTAAATCCTACACACTGGTCCTTTAACCTCACTAGGTATCATTTTAAAGCAACAAACTTCCATTGAAGTTTACTGTGCTAATGTCTCAACTTTAATAATTATTTCTGTGTTGTTAAAAACAGAAAGTTATTTTATATACATTATATTCATTACATCACACCCACCAACTATAGCTGTTACCAATCTAGGTGAGCTAGCTAACGTTACATCCTACCCGAGGAGGACGCGATTAATGTTTACATTCTGCACAAACACAAGCCTCTGGAGTTAAACTTAACTTAACTTAACTTAACTTAACTCAACTCAACTTAACTGGGTCATAAATAGCAATACAGATATGAGTAAAAATATTTATTTTTAATTTTGGGGTGAACTTCCTACTCCACTGAAAAGGCCATTCTCAGTGTATATGTGTATTAAAGGCTTCAGGTTTTCACATCACACTTGTGTAAGTTGCATATTGGACCAAGATTGGCTT